ACCTATATAATACCAAACTTTTTTCAGATTTGTTGAAAATTTTCTGTAGCCCAGTATATGCTCAATTTTATCACAATAAATTTTACTACTTCTGTTCACGTTACCTATATAATACCAAACTTTTTTCAGATTTGTTGAGAATTTTCTGTAGCCCAGTATATGCTCAATTTTATCACAATAAATTTTACTACTTCTGTTCACATATATGTACATGCACAGACATGATTGGAGATATGAAAAAAGATTAATAGTAGAGGCTTTCGGTACATGGTAAGATTACAAGTGATCTTCATTTCATTTTTTATCAATTTCAACATTTTTTATAATTAGAATTTTTGTATTGGAAAAAATATTTTTCCAATACCAAAACCTATGTTTTCACATAACACAGTACTGAATTTTATGACAACATTAGAACTTTAAGAATATGTTAAATTATATTTGGTATAATTTAAGAATGCAGGATAAAATAAGAAATTTATTAGAAAATATTCCACCAAAATTTAAATTTTAAAACCTAGTTGCTCCTGAAAAAAGAGAAGTTTAGTTATCTGAAAAATTCATTTTTTGAGGACAACTAACTTCTACAAATATTCTGGATAAGTAAAGTAATATACCAACAAAAACATAGACCACAAAAATATTGTATATAAAGGTCAACACAGAGAGATGTACAAACACAATGTGTCTGTAAAGGGGAATATATATATAAGGAAGTAATTATAATTCATGAATAATGAAAATTTTTTCAATGCTAGAGGTCACAAAGGGGATCGATCTGATGCACCCACACAGTTGACCTGCTCTTCTGCACTAAGTCATAATATAGATTAAATCAACATAAAATAAAAATGCTTCGGGCTTTATTTTTAAAAACCATCAGGCTTTGTAAATCTTGTCTGAGAAAATTTTTTTTAAATGCTAATGCTGATTCTAACAGAAAAACAAAAATACAAATTACAGTATATCACCATTTCACCTTCCCATAATTTGATCTCACAGGAATGCAGTAAAACTATTTTAAAACTAAAAAGATGAAAAAGAGAAAAAAAAGAGAAACTACTATAGTTTGCATTATGCCTCATATCCAATTCAGTCAACAAAGCTTATAAAATCTATCTTATTAACATCTCTTCAAATGCTTCCCCTCATCACTCCCACTCCTAGTGCCTTGTCCAGGCACTCATTTTTCTCACTTGGTTTACTACAACAACCTCCTAACTTATATACTCACCTCTAATCTCCCCCCTCCAATCAAGCCTCCACTCAGTTTCTGGAGATAATTTTATAAAACAGAAACCTAATGGGGTCACTTCCCTGCTTAATTACTCTGCTGTCTTGTTTTCTTGCATCTCCTCCCAACCCCTCACATACCTGATGCAACCACCATATCACCAGCCATCACCACCTTCCTTCAGACCAAATATCAACTTCTTAGATGATCACAGCAGGTTCACCAAAATCTAATGCAAGCCCAACTTCCTATTCTCATCTATTGCATTCTCCTGTACACACACTCACTTACCACACATCAGCCTTTCTAAACAACTTAACTTTTCCAGAACAGACCCTTTCCTCTCTGTCTACCCCACAATGCCACCTCACTACCCAGCCAAACTGCCCGTCTTACACCTGATCTCCCACTAGTAAGATAGAAACCAAATGTGCTGCCCTTTCTACACCCACAAATTCTTACTAATACCATGTAAAGCGGGCAAATTGAAGTGCAGTTTTAAAACATGAGAGAAGACTACATTGTAGCGACTGAAGTTAAACTGTTAATTACAGATTGTTTGGAATACCAATGATAGATTCTTTCTACTTTAGAACTGACATCTCATATAGAAGCTAATTTAACATATTTTTGTTTTGCAGATAATGAGTTAGAGGCAAAACTACAAGTTTCCAAGAAATTGTTATCAAAAACATTAACAAACAGTTGAAATATTATTTCATCAAACTGTCATTTTAAAAAGATCATCAGTGTTTAAGTAGTGAGGCAACTGAGATACAACCTGCGATTTTTGAGCTCTGCTAATTATGATTAATATTTTGATTAATTATCATACACATAATACTGGAGAAAAGATCTAGTATATTCAATATCATCACAGCATAATTTGTTTCCTATGTTAGTTGTTTTAGATAAGACTAATATTAACTCTAATAATATAATATTTATTGTTTAAGACAAGACTATAACATTTATAATTTTTTAATTGTAATTGATATTTAGTTATACTCCTACATAAGAAATCTCCCCCAGAACTTATTCTATATTTAGCTCTCATTTCTATGATTTGGCGATTTGCACTGGGTTCAGCTGAGCACTTCTTTTGGTTTCTTCTGGGCTCGCGAATGCACCTGTGTGCCTTTAGCAGGTGTGAGGAACTGATTGTGTCCCCCAACACTTATGTGTTGAAATCCTAACATGATGGTACTAGGGTGTGGGGCCTTTGGGTGGTGATTAGGTCATGAGGGTGAAGCCCTCATGAATGGAATTAGTGCCCTGATAAAAGATACCCCAGAGAGCTCTCTCACCCCTTTCTGTCATATGAGGACACAAGGAGAAGTTGGCAGTCTGCAACCGGGAAGAGAGATGTCACCAGAACTTGACCGTGTTGGCACCCTGATCTTGAACTTCCAGCCTCCAAAATCGTGACAATAAATTTCTCTTATTTCTAAGCTAGGTAATTTTTTATAGTAGCCCATAAGGACTAAGACAGCTGGGGTGACTTATTTCTGCCCCATGCAGTCTCTCATCTTCTGGCCCACTAGTCTGGGCTTATTTAAATAGTGGCTAGGCAGTCTTGGAGCACAGCATGCAAGGTGTTTCTAAGACTTGGCTTGGGACCAGACACCACCACTTCCAACACATTTTTATGGTCAAAAAAGTCACCAGCCAGCACAGAATCTAAGAGACAGTAATAGATTCCACCTCTACCTCTTGTTGAAAGGAGCTGCAGACAAATTGCAAAGCATGTGGTTACAGGAAACAGTGAATTGTGGCCATGAGTTTTAGAGTATGGTAGGTATAGCTGACCAATAGGACACTAATGGTAGTTCAATCTGGAAATATCTCCAACGTTAAATTTGAAAGTTACAACAAAATTTAAAAATAAAATAAAATAATTGGATTATGAATAACATAGATATGCATGAACTACAAAGAAAATACCAGAAAGAATAAGTTTTTTAATATAAAATACCAAACATAAGATCATATTATAGCAAAAGTTAATTTTGAGATTTTTTTTCTGTATATTAACCTTAGTTCTTCCACATTATATGTAAACAATAAAATAGGTGGACTAATGTAGCATGTATTGCAATGTACACAACAGGTATTTAATAAGTACTTTTTGTCTAAAAAAATTTTTTTAAGAAAAAAAGTTAGACCTTTATTTGTTTCCTAATGAGGAACCATCAAAGAATTTAGTTTAGGAAGTGACAGATTCAGATTTGATATATACAATAGTCCCCCCTTATCAGTTTTGCTTTCTGTGGTTTGTTCCCTAAGGTCAATCAGTCTGAAAATATTAAATGGAAAATTCCAGAAATAAACAATTCATAAGTTTCAAATTGTGCACCATTCTAAATAAAGTGATGAAATATTGTGCTGCCCCACTTCTTCAAGCCCTTGTCATGAATCATCCCTTCATCCAGCATACCCAAGCTGTATACACTACCTGTAGTCCCCTAGTAGCCAATTAGGTTATCATCTCTCATCATCTCAAAAAGAAAAAGGGTGAGTACAATTACAGTAAGATATTTTGAAAGAGAGAGACCATATTCTCATAACTTTTATTACAGGATATTGTCATAATTGTTCTATCTTATTATTTATTGTGAATTTCTTATTGTGCCTAATTTATAAATTAAACCTTATCATAGTATATGTGGATGGGGGGGAAAAGCCCAGTGTATATAGGGTTTAGTACTATCCCTGGTTTCAGGTATCCACTGGGGATCTTGGAACATATCTCCAACAGATGAGAGGGGACTACTTTACCTTTTGTCACCATTTTAATATATTACCATTACCCAGGGAGCAGTCTAGCCAAGAGTGTTCTTTGACTTTTTACAGGTATTATTTTCCCATCTATAACGCCATTCATTCCTGGAACTCCCATTAACCTAGCAAGACTATTCAGTTATCAGTTACCTGCATTTAGAAAACATACACACTACCCATATCATTCTACAGTTACTTAAGATGTCCCCATGCTATTCCTAGTACTCCTCATGCTGTACGGCAACTCTTTGTTTCCTCCATTGGGCAGTGAAGGCTTCCAGAAACGGGAATGAGCTTCACCTCATTCCTCATTGCATAGGGAAGTGACTGACATACTGTAAGACACCCCACAAACGTTTAATGAATCAAAAAGAGGTGCAATGGCAGGTGGGGGAACAATGCATACAGATGTAAGACGACGTAAAGGTATGTAAAGCCAAAGTGCTATGAAACCCCCTTCAGATGTGAGCCAGCTATAACTCAAAAATCACACAGAGGGCCGGCCTGGTGGCGCACTGCGCTAGTGCGCCGCTTGAGAAGCGCGGAGGCGCTCCCGCTGAGGGTTCGGATCCCACATACAGACCGGTTCCCGCTCACTGGCTGAGCGAGGCGCGGGGGCAACACCGAGGGTTGCGATCCCGTTGCCGGTCCCGGTCCGGTATGGGGGCGACACTGAGGGTTGCGATCCGTTGCCGGACACGGAAAAAAAAAAAAAAAATCACACAGAAACATACAAGACAGATCTATTCACGCCCCAATTCCCACAAGCCCAGGAAGAAGCTTCGTTTTACAGCAAGCCTCCAGTCGTGCCTCATGCCGTAAAAGGGAAGAAAGCCCTCAGCGGAGAAAATCAGGCTTCCGGCTTTGCTTTGCGGTACCGTCAGGGCGGGAAAGTGCCCGGCTGTCGGTTGGAGGGAGGGTCTTCGCCCCGCCCCTCCGGGCCGGACTTCCGGGCTACGGGGAGGTGTGTTCCGGGCTCTCCCACCCAGCGCTGGGCCCCGGTTAAGGCCCCGCTCACCGTCGCCCGTACAATGGAGGCGACGGTGGCGGCAGAAGTCGAAAATGAGGATGGCGACAGCAGCTGCGGGGATATATGCTTCATGGACAAAGGCCTGCGGAGGTAAAGGGCGCTCAGCAGCCAGGAGCGCCCCGCGCACCCCCTAGGGAAGGGGTCGTGGGCGGCCTGAGCGGAGGCGCGGCTGGCTTTGCACAAACGCAGTCTGGCTTCCGACCGCTTTACTCCACCAAAACCGCTCTGCCCCAGTGCCGGCTTGAACGAGCCCTGCATTCCTTTCCAACCTTGGCTTCTGCCCCGCATTTGTCACACGGCTCTGGTTAGCCTGGATACTGACCCACGACCTGGCTCTCCACTGCCTCTGACCACTCCTCCCTTCTTCTGCTGGTTCTCCATTCTTTACTGGTTATTTTATTTATTTGCTAGCCCTTTAATTTTTGGCCTTCTCGTGTTCTCTCTTGTCTCTCCTCAGTTCCTTCTGTTACCCTGCAAAAAAGTGGCAGCAATGGAGCGAGTGTTCGTTGCTCCTCATTGGTTTTTGCCTAAGTTCTCTTTACCCCATTGTGATTTCTCCTTTACAGAGTACTATAATACATACATTCATGTACTTTTTGAAAATAATAAACATATTTAGTTCACCGCTTTCTCTCTCATATACCTGAAACGTGCATGGCATATGAAGCTCTTGGTTTTGCATTACTGATTGGTCTCTGCCTACCTTTTCAGTCTCAACTCTCACCATTTCTCCACTTACACTCTATGGTTAGCTACATTGAGCTACATACAGGCAGTTGCATGATAGGTTTCTCTGTGCCTTTGTACATGCTGTTATTTTGTAGAGTGCCCTCCTCTATGCAAACTTTGCTACTAATAATTGAGCATCTCCTTCTGGATTCTGATCTGAATTTTGCCATATTACCCCAGGAAGATGTTTTTCAAGGCATATTTACATTAATATTTAATAATAGCTGCCATTTACTGAATGCTATCTATGCGTGCATGTTATATACGTTATCACTAATCCTCAGCAATTTTGCAAGGTAGTAATTTTTCTCATTTTAAAAATGATGAATCTGAGACTCACAGAATCTAATTTGCCCAACTTCATAGTTTGCAGCTGGTGAGCAGTTAAGTTCAGATTCAAATCCATTTCTGTGTAATTTTACTGTTTCCTTTTTCTACTGTCCCACATTATCTGCACAATATTAATTTTCAAAAACTGAAGTGTGCCAGAAAATAAATGTCTTAATAGCATGTGTTAATAACATAAGGTCTGGCACTAAATAAGATCTCAGTAAATGACAGAGGCTAGATAATTGGGAAATGCTTCAAACTGTCACATTTAGGGGTTGCTAATTTGAAATCTGCAAATGTTTCCCTACTGTCAGAGTTAAGTTTCCTACAGGTTTATAGTAACTGTTAACGGAACCTACAACAGATGCCCACGACATTGTGGGTCCTTGTTCCTGACTGTACCTTTCACCTAACAGCTCTAAATTGTGCACTGGAGGTTGTGTTCCTGGAACTGTCATCTTCAGGAGAGGTTCCAGTTACAAATAGCAATTGAGGGAGTGAAGAGAAGAGTTCTATTTAGAAAAGGTGCATTCCAACTTAAAAAAAAGGAAAACAGGGACTTTTTCACTAGAAATAGCAGTTACTAGTAGTTTCTTTGAAAATCAGCTTCATTCTGTATTAAGTAGTTATTGTAGACAGTGAAGAAAGGAAGATTATAAAAACCAGCATAAAATCTGGCTTTATACCTGGGTTCTGTTAACATAACTGCAAAAATTTGGGCAAGTTATTTAATTTCCATAAGCTTCAGTATCCTTATAGTACTGCTTAGAGTTGTCAGAATTAAATGAAATAAGGAAATTGAGGCTTAGAAAGGTTGTCATTTGCTCAGGAAACACAGCAAAGTGGTAGAGTACAGATTTTAACTGGGAGGTGTTAGGATTCCAGAGCCTTTACAATTATTGACTACTATTCAATACTGTCTTCATATATGCTGATGACTTTGTTCATAGAAGCTGAAATGCCCAGGGTCACTTGTCTCCCTAGAGTAATTTCTTGTTTAAATGGTCAAAAATACTGGTTTGTTTGGTAAGAAGCATTGTGTTTCATGAGACATTTCAAGGCTACCACAAATAGGAAGGATTTCATTCTAGAATGGAGCACATATTTATTTATCTGCATGCTGTTTGGTTAATTTTAATTATTTGGTCATGCTTTTAAAATCATTTTTTACTTGTTTTCTGTAATATATATTTTCTTTTGCAGCATATCAGAGTTATCTTTAGATTCAACTCTTCATGCCATCAATCTTCATTGCAATAACATCTCCAAGATCAAAGCCATTGATCACATTTGGAACTTACGACATTTAGATCTGTCATCTAATCAAATAAGTCAAATTGAAGGGCTAACCACACTGACAAAACTATGTACTTTAAATTTGTCCTGCAATTTGATCACAAGAATAGAAGGTTTGTAAGTGATTTTCAAATATTACTTAAGGCGGAAGACTTAAGTCCATTTTTCTTCTGAAAAGAATGGAATAAATATTTTTATAAACTGACCCTACAGTTCATTATACAAAAAGTTTTGTTCCAGAAAAGTGTCAATTTTTTAAGTAAGTGGTTTTTCAGAATGCCAGTAAAATTGATTTCACTGTTATCAGATTGGATTTGCTTCAAAACAGTCTGAAATAATATTGTAATGCTATATCTTACAGTTAATTAATTATTTAAATCCTATAAAGGCTTTCTTTTATTTTAGGACTTGAAGCACTAGTTAATCTAACTAGACTGGATTTGTCTTATAACCACATAAATGATCTTAGCGGTAAGTAGATATGCTTATGTTTTCTATGACAGTTAATTAATTATTTAAATCCTATAAAGGCTTTCTTTTATTTTAGGACTTGAAGCACTAATTAATCTAACTAGACTGGATTTGTCTTATAACCACATAAATGATCTTAGCGGTAAGTAGATATGCTTATGTTTTCTATGATGCTGAATGTTTACCACATGTGATGAGTTAGACTCAGCCCAGCATGTTGGAAAACTGAATAATTACCTAGTTTTTGACCAAAAATCTCATCTAAAAGAGTGTGTTTCTCTGATTTGTTGGTGCCAAAGCCATAGCTGAGTAAAAAAAAGTAAAAACTAGGGTAATTGGTAGCAGAAAAAACTTGGATGGGAAGGACCTAGTATACAGGAATAATGTTATAATCTTAGATAAGTAATTGTACTGCTATACAGAGTGAAATAGTTTCAACAGAACTTTCTATAATGATAAAAATGTTCTGTATCTGTTCTGTATCATACAGCAACCAATAGCCAGATGTGGCTATTAAGTGCTTGAAATGTGGCTAATACAACTTAGGGACTGAATTCATAATTTTATTTGAAGTAAATCTTAATGTAAATATAAAAGCCACGTGTAACTAATGGCAGCCATGTTGAATAGTATAGATATGTGGCATTCCAAAGACTATTGCAGATTGAGAAATAAAGTTGTTTTTAAGTTTTGTCTATAATATGTCTAAGAAGGTTTAAAATTTGTTACTCTTTTTTAATGTACGAAAGTGATACAACTAATAAATTGAACAAAGTTTTATGATTATTAGAACTGTTAGAAGTAGTAACATTCCTCTAATTATCTTCATACTCCTTATTAATATTTGAAACAATTTTATTCTTGTGTTTTCTCTTCTTCCTCACTAGAAAAACACGACCCTATGCCAGGTACTTAGTATAAAAAAATGAAAAAACTTAGTTTGTACCATTAAGCTGAAGCAGCAACTGTATTTTAATTTTTTAAAATCTTTTCCCCCCCTGAAAGACATGAAAGTATTAGAGTTGAGTTTCAACCTACCTCTGTCATTGTTGTTTGATGTAAAGCAAGGTATTTTACTTTTTGCATACAGTTTTCTTATCTGCAAAATTTGAATATTGTATAAGATCATACACTCAACAAATATTTATTGAATATCACTGTATCAAACACTGCTCTTGTAGTGATGGGAAAAACTAACAACAATAAACAGATATGGCCCTTCCTGTCACAGGGCTTACATTAGGCCTACATTATGGAGGGGAATAAAAACAAGTGAATAAATAACAACTCAGAAAATAAGCAAAAAAATTTGAAAGATACCTCACCAAGAAGATATGTAAATGGAAAGTAAGCATATGGAAAAAAGATGTTTAGAATCCTTAGTGATTAAGGAAATGCAAATTAAAACTGCAGTGAGATAACCACTTCACCCCTAGAATAGCTAAAATTTTAAAAACTGACAAAGTGCTGGTGAGATTGTGGCATAGTTGAAATTTAGCATACATTGTATGTAGGATTTTAAGTGGTGCAAACGCCTTGGAAAAGAGTTTGACAGATTCTTATATTGGTAAACATACACTTACATGTAATCATACAGTCCCACTGCTAGGTATTTCCCCACAAGAAATTAAAACATGTCCACACAAAGATCTGTACGTGAATGAATACAATTGTGTACCTTTTTATATTGTCATGTTTATGTGATTTATGTAATCTCTAACATTTGGGATCAACCCATATGTCCATAAACTGGTAAATAAGTAAACAAGTTGTGATACATTCATACAATGTAATACTATTTGGAAATAAAAAGGAATGAACAATAATACATGCAGGAACTCTGATAAATTTAAGAATTATGCTAAGTGAAAAGAGCCAGACAAAAAGACTACATTATATGATTCTATTTATATGACATTCTAACAAAGGCAGACTACCAGATAATTGGTTGCCAGGGGCTAGAGATGGAGAGAAGAGATTGATTCCATAGGGACATGAGGGAACCTGTTGGGATGATGGAAATGTTCTGTATTTCAATTATAGTAGTGATTACACAACTCTATATATTTGCTGAGACAATGCTGTAAGTTCTAATAGATAATTCTTAGAGTGATAATAGTTTATATGTTCAGAAACACTTTAATAAATAATAGCAACTTATATGATAAGACTCTAAGGCAGGATCAAGCTTGCCATGTAAGAAGGAAGCCTCATGGGCTGGGGCATAGCAAATGAGAGGTTAATGTGCTAAGAAAAGAGAAGAGTAGGCAGGGTAAGGAGTTGGCATTTTATTCTAGGTACAATAGGAAGTCATTAGAAGGCGTTAAACAAGGGAGTGACATAATTTATGTTTTTAATAAATCACTTTGGCTGCTGAGTAGAGAGTGGATTTTAGGTGGGCAGGAATGGAAGTCAGGCATCGAATTACTATTTCAGTCCACTAGAGGAGAGATGATGGATTCTTGGTCTAAGATGGAAATAGCATAGGGGAGTAAATAGATATGTTTTGGAGGTAGAGTTTATAGGGCTTGCTGATGGATTGGGATGAGGAAGTGAGGGAGAGAGGAATCAAAGATAACTAATTAGAAGTTTCCTCTGGATTAACTGGTAGATGATGGTACTGTTTACTGACAGTAAGATTGGGAGTTTGGGAGAAGAGCGGGTTTAGAAATGAGGAGATGAGGATTAAGGATCCTGTAGTAAATTTGAGAACACTATTGAACATGCATGTATGCATATAATCTGCAGTTTGGGGGCAGGAGGTCATGGTTGGAGTTGTAGATTTGGCATTTAAAAGCATTCGACAAAGGGCTGGCTGGTGAGCTCAGTTGGCTGGAATGCGGTGTTGATAACATCAAGGTCAGGGGTCGATCCCTGTACTGGCCAACTGCAAAAAAAAGATAAAAGCACGCAACACTGTATTTGAAGCCATGAAATTATAGGAGATTCTGGAGAGCATGTAGATATAGAAGGGAACCTAGGACTGAGCCCTGGGATATTCTAAAATTTAAGCAGGACAAGACCATAAAGTTGAAACATAGGAGGAAGAACCTGTAACATGGAACAAGGACTTACAAATGTAATGGTTAGTTAAGAAGAAATTCTAAGTACTATGAGGATGTATGACAGGAAAATCAGACCTCATAGAGAGCAGTGAGAGAAAACTTTTCTGAGGCTGTGACAGAAAAATGAAACAAAGCACATTGAGGAGAAAAAGATATTTCAGCCAGGTTAAATAAACCAAAAAAAGTTGAATATGGAGAGTGCTAACCTAAGCAAAGTTGTAAATTAGTACCCTGTGAGGAACAAAGTAGTACCCTCTGAGAACAGAGTGAGTCTCAGAATAGTCCTTCCAAAAGAAGAGAAGCTGGGGCATTCATCCACTAAGAAGTCCTGTTTGACAGACAAAAGCCCCTGGAGGTGTTAACTCTCTCACACTTTCAGGCTGTACCTTTGCTCAACAACCTCCCTCCATTTTGAGGAAAGTTCTCAGGCAGTCAAAGAGAGAAATGGAGTGCTCGAGGGGACACACTAGCAATGTATATAGCAGTTGTCCACGACAGCTGCTGCAGAAGTCTGAGATGGGCCAGGCAGCGATAGCATCTGCTACAAAATGCTCTAGATAAGCTCATGCAAGAAATAATTCCAGGCAACTAAATTAAGTGAGTGCTATTTGTATTTATATTCAAACCAACAAAATCGGATGGTAGTGTAGTGTTTTCTTATGTTTGCTAATCGAAAATGATACGTTAAGAGAGCCTAAGGCCATTGCTTTATGTTTGTTCTCATATAAGTGCATGCATTGACCTGGGAAGGTACTTTTGTTTTGTTTTGTAATTTCAAGTGCTAAACTAAAGCCTCAAAGAGAAGCCTCTTCAAAACAACACTTAACCTTACCGGTGTCTGTAGCTGTTCACAGCCAGGTCTTATTAATCCTGCTCCTTTGCCTCTCAAAATATAACCTACATAACAAATATTTTAATTAGCTATTGGAAAGTCTACTGTTGTGGCATCAAAAGAATTTTTTTCCTATTGCAGGGTTGCTGCCTCTTCATGGACTTAAGCATAAGCTTAGATATATTGACCTACATGGTAATTACGTAGATAGTATCCATCACTTACTTCAGTGTATGGTAGGATTACACTTCTTGACCAATCTTATTTTGGAGAAAGATGGAGATGATAATCCTGTCTGTCATCTACCAGGTATGACAATTAATTTAATACTTTTTGTAACAGTTAATATTCAAAGCTCCCTCATTTCCCGAAATTGGTGTTTATGACCTCTTTTTATTTTAGTCATAAGCTTTGCAATGTTTTATTATGTATTTGGAAAACATAATTGCAAATAAACTAGTTTACTAACAAATTGCTGTTAAAAAAAACAGGATGAACAGATTGGTAATTCTCTTATTTAGACAATTTTATATTTTGATAAGTTAAAGCCTCAAAATTAAATTATACCATTATCGTATATTTTAATAGTATAATACTATGCAGTATAATACTATAGTAAAGAATGTAGGATCTCTTTATCTACTAATGGACAATTATCCAATGTATATTAGGAGAAAAAAAAGCAAGTTGCAAAGTTATTGCATATAGTAGGCTATCAGATGTGTAGAAAGGGTAACACATATATATGCTGAGTATGTATGTATGTAAAACATCTGGAAGAATACACAAAAAAAGATAGTATTGGCTAACCCCAGGAAAGGTTGCTGGATAACTGGAGATTAGGAAATGTTGGGAAAACTATTTTTACCATGTACCTTTTGAATTTTATACCATATGAATTTATTACATTATTAATAAATAAATGATTTTTTTTAAGAGCTTGAACTTGGTATCAGGTTTAATTTAAGGGGCAAAAAGAGGGATGTTTTACTAATCCTTGAGCCCTCACTAGGAAAATTCTGGCACTTTGGTCATTATCCACATCATCCTGATTTATGTTTATATTAATCATATTAAAAATAAAACAAATGTTTAGCTTCCTTCCCAGAATAAATTGCTACTGGTTTTATGCATTATAGCTTAAAAATAATTTTTCAGAGGTGACAATTTTAACTTTCTGAACTTCATCAGTGGGGTTATTTGGGAGGGCTGGAGGTTGTGTTTTATTTCTTTTGTATTTAATGATTACCTGCTGGAGAAGTTGAAAGGTAGCATTTCTAGTTGCTTTCTGAGACTAATTTTCTCATTCAGGGACTAAATCTACTAGCTGATAAATTTAGTTTATCCTAGAAATAATCTCTCTTTTTTAATGTTTAAGTTTTCAATTTGAATGATTTGTTTCCAAGGGTATAGAGCAGTTATTCTCCAGACTTTGCCACAGCTCAGAATCCTAGATTGCAAGAACATATTTGGTGAACCAGTAAATTTGGCAGAAATAAATTCATCACACCTACAGTGCTTAGAAGGTCTTTTGGATAATTTAGTTTCTTCTGATTCTCCTCTAAATATAAGTGAAGATGAGGTATCGTATTTTTTTTTATAACATAAATATAACATAAAAGATATCTTCAAATTTTAATAAATCAATGTAAATTAAGAGGATTTTGGTATGTTTCTGTGTCACAGATCATTGATAATATGCCAGTGGTAACACCACCCATCGATGAATTAGCTCCCTTGGAGCAGTTTGCAAGTACACCAGCAAACACCGTTTTGACGTCTTGTATATCTGTGTGTCCATCTTCTGAGCCAGAGAAAATTAATCATGAAAATGATTTTCAGAATGAGATGAAACTCCAGAAATTAGATGATCAATTTTTAGAGCTTCTCCATGAAGTAACTATTTTTTCTACTTTTCTAAAGCAGTATGTGTTTATTGAAGAAAAAGTAGTTAAGAAAATGTAAAATAAAAATTATGTACAAGCTAACTGTATTAGTCAGGGTTCTCCAGAGACAGAATCAATGGGTTATGTTATAATTATATGAGAGGGATTTATTAGGGGAATTAGCTCACACAACTGTGCAGAAAAGTCCCACAATAGGCCGTCTACAAACTGGATGCTGGTAGCGTGGCTCAGTCCAAGTCCAAAGGCCTCAAAACCAGGGAAGTTGATAGTGTCCTGGAACCCAAAAGCTGACGAGTCTCGAGCTCTGATGACCACGGACAGGGGAGAAGAGTGTATCCCAGCACCAGTGGATCGAAAGATTCACCTTTTTCCTCTGTCTTTTGTTCTCTCTGTACCCCCAGCGGATTCATCACACCTATAAGTGTTTAGAAGGTCTTATGGATAGTTTAGTTTCTTCTGATTCCACCCACGTTGAGGGTGGGTCTTTCCCACCCAGTCCACTCAGACTCTCTCACTAAGCTCTGCTGAAAACACCCTCACAAGACACACCTAAAATCATAGCTTTACCAGGTTTCTCAGCATTCCTTCACCTAACCAAGTTGACACCTAGAATTAACCTTCACACTGACCAACCAGAAATCATCTATATTGAATACATCGATGTGTGTATATTTTTGTTTTCTTTTACTGAAATAGGATTCTGTTGTAGTAGTTATGGTAGTAAAAGGTAAAATACGTTTTCAGTCATTTTCCTTGTTGTCTTCCTTCACAACTTTGTTATGTAATTTCTTTATCTTGTTCTGCAGTACTTCACATTCACTCACCCATCTTTTTCACTCCACCCATCTTTTATTTCAACCTTAAGCAAGCTGAGAACTCTTTGGGCTCAGGGTACGGAATTACTTTTGGTCTCTACTACTTCTCAGTTATTTAATGGTTAAAACCATTTCCAGAACTTACAGCTAATGGGAAATTAATTTACACAGTTCCTGCTTCAATTGCAGTTTCTAGCAGACCATCACCTAATTAATCTCTACCTTTCTGAGTTAATCCTTTTTCACCCCTGCTGTTGATTCTGATTTTTAGAATACATGAACTGTGTGGATGAACTAAATTTCTAGAATTTATTGCTATTCCGGTCTCTATCCCTCACTCCAGCATTCTTGCTCTGATCCACAGTGATGGTTGTTTTCTTTGACACCACATCTTCTTGAATGCAGTGGATTATGTTTGCCTTTTACCTGGGCATAGGGTAGAAAGATAGTGGTTTAGTCTAGAGAGGCTATTGGTCAAATGTCAGTTTTACCTAAAAATTTGTAACTTAAGTTTTAATACTCAAATTTTTTTTTTTTCTCAGAGTGGATAGGGGGAAGGAGCAGAAAATGCTTGTGGAATGGGCATGGTTCAGTGGGTTTCTCATAACACTGAAGTATTATCACATCTATAACACTAACAATGCTGGCTAAACAAGAGATCTGCCTTATGTGAGTAAGAGTGAATAAGTCTGTGAGGATTCCATGTGTCAGAAATCTCTTGCAATTTCAATTTGAGGCACTAGGTAGATAATAATAGAACTGGGACAAGAATGTTGCCCTACACATTCTTTGACATCATTCATATGTTATGACTCAACTTTGGGACTCCTCCATTTCCTCAGGTTTCATCTTCCATCTTTTCTAATGACTGACTCTTCTACCAATGTCAGAACTTACATTTAAGCTTATTAACTTAAATTTAAAATGAACTTTTCAGCTTCTCTTAGACTTTTCTCATTTTATTCTCACAATATCCCAATCAAGTCGAGAGATTAATATATTATTGTCCTTATTATCTAAAAGAAACTCAGGACTTTAAATCACTTATCTAAGAGTATTAGTAAGACATACTTGATCTTCAAACCCAAGTATCCTGCTATCTACGTGTATTCTTTCCACTATGTCGTGCTTCTTACTCAGTTATGGTGATAATTCTTCCCACTCTGTTAACCAAGAATAGGAGTCTAACTATCTGGAAAAAAAGATTATTGACTACCTGTGCATATTAAAAATGTTTAAGAAAATGACTTCTTGTTCACCATCTTACTTGGTGTTGAGTAAACATGCAATTTGAATTTCAATTTAGCTGTGTATACACTCAAATGATTTTATTTCAAAAGTATCAATTTATAAGTAAAGCCATTATAAAGTTACCGAAAATGTACTATAAATAAGGACAATTATTATTAGCCATAGGACTTAAAATCATAATTATCCCATTGATTTGGGGAATTCTGTCTCTGTGAAAAGCTTTTTTGCCTTTCTTTTTAGTTCTTCCCTAACATTTTATTATGAACATTTTTATTTTCACAGCAAATTTGAAAGATATTTCTTAGTGAATACCAGTATACCCACAAAGTAGATCTACCATTAACATTTTATTACACTTTCTTATAACACATTTCAAAGTAAATAGAATGCATCAGTACACTTCTAAATACTTAAGCATGAATATCATCAACTAGAGTTCAGTATTTGTTTAACAATGTTTTTTATTGTTTTTTAAATATAAAATACAAGTGCATGTGTTTCCTAAGTTGACAGTACATACATACCTGTTACCCACACTTCTATAAGATGAACATTAGCAACATCCTAGAATGTTCCTTCATGCCCTCTCCCACAAGCAATTCTTCCCTGCCTCTCCAGAGACAAGCAGTTTTCTGATTTTTATCTCTACCATGGATTATTTGTTAATTGTTCTAGAATCTAATATAAATGGAATCATACAGTGTGCACTCTTTCATGTAAGGTTTCTTTTACTCAGCATAACCTTTTTGAAATGAATCCATGTTTTTACGTGTATCAGTAGTTTTTATTTCTATGTTCAGTTTCATAAATATACCACAGTTTGTTTTTCCATTATCCTATTTATGTACCACTAGTTTATTTCAGATTTATGAATAGAGCTGCTATGAACATTACTGTACAAGTCTTTTGTTGAATATATGTCTTCATTTCTCTTCAGTAAACAGCTAGAGGTGTTAATTTCTGGGTTATGGCGTAAATGTATGTTTAGTTTTATAAGAACTGCCAGAGCTTTTTCCAAGGTGGTTGTTCCAATTTAACTAAGTATGCATTTCCACATCCTCACCCATGTTTGGTGTTAGCATTGATGTTATTTTAGCTGTTCTACTGGGTGTATACTGGTATTCATTCTGGTTTTAATTTGCATTTCACTAATGATCAGTGATGTTGAGCACTTTTTCATGTGTTTATTGAATATTCGCATATCCTCTTCTGTGAAGGGTCTATTCAGACTTTTTGCTCGTATTTTTATTGGGTTGTTTATCCATCACTAGGTTGTAGGAATTTGTTATATATCCTGGATACCAGTGTTTTGTCAAATACATCTGTGTGAATATTTTCTCCCAGTCTGTGGATCACATATTCATTTCCCTAATGGTCTTTTGATAAAGCAATAGTTTTTAATTTTGATGAAGTCCAATTTATCATTTTTTTTTTCTTTTATGGTTATTTTTTTCTGTGACTTTAAAAACTCTTGGGCATCCCCAAGTAACATTCTCTGTGTTATTCTCTAAAAGTTTTATGGTTTTAACCTTTTGTGTTTAGATCTTTGTATGGGGTAGAAGGTAGAGGTTGAAGTTCACTCTTTTTTATATGGATATTCAGTTATTCCAGCACCATTTTTGAAAAGCCTTTTCTTTTCACTGGATTCCTTTGATGTCTTTATCGGAAAAAAAAAAAAAATCAGATGACCTTTCAAATTGTAAACTCTAACTTTGGACTCTCTTCTATCAGGCTGGGTAAGTTGTATTTTTTAGTTAATTTGTTCATTTCATCTCATTGTCAGCATAAAATTGTTCATATTTTCTTATTTTCCTTTTAATTTCTGTAGGATCTGTGATCATCTTTCACTACTGATATTGGCAATCTGTGTCTTCTCTATGTGTTTATATTTTGCCTTGGTCAAATTAGCTAGAGATTTTGTTGATCTTTTCAGAGAACTGACTTTTGGCTTTGTTAATTTCCTCTACTATTTGTTTTCTGTTGATTGATTTCTGCTGCTTTTTATTATTTCTTTCCTTCTACTTTAAATTTACTTTGCTCTTCATTTTCTAACAATATAAGCAGCACTTAGGTCATTGTTTTTAAACCTATCATCTGATATAATCATTTAAAACAATAAATATTCCTTTAAGTACTGCTCTAGCAAAATTCTGGAAATTTTGATACATTTTCCTTTAATTGTCAATTAGTTAGAAATATTTCCTAATTTTTCTTGTGATTTCTTTCGTGATCCAAGGATTATTTAGGAATATTTTAATTAATTTTCAAACATTTGTGGTTCTGTAGATATTTTATTTGTATTTAATTTCTAATTTACTTCTGTTTTATTCAGAGCACATATTCTGAATAATTTCAGTCTTTTAAAATTTATTGAGACTTTTTTGTAGCCCGGCATATGGTTTTTCTAGGTGGATGTTCTTTGTGCTCTTGAAAAGAATGTGTATTCTACAGTTGTTAAGTGAGGATGGTGGACAGTATTTTTAGGAACCCATGTCTACTGATTTTTTTATGTGGTTCTGTCAGTTACTGATACTGGGTTTTTTGTTTTTGAGAGAGGGGTTTGGTCTAGTTCTATCTATTGCTACATGAGATGTGTTAAAATCTCTATGATTGTGGATTTGTCATCATTGACAAATGATGGTAGACATTTGAGTTTGTATTCGCCTTGGGGCTATTATAATGAATAATATTGCTGTAAACATTTATGTACAAATTTTTGTGTGGACATATGTTTTCATTTCTTTTTACTATATACGTAGAAGTGGAATTGCTGAGTTATATGTTCAACTTTGAGAAACTGCCAAACTTTCCAAAGCAGCTGCACCATTTTACATCCCCACTAGCAGTATGTGAAGGTTCCAGTTTTTCCACAACCTTGCTAACTTGATAATGTATGTTGTTTTGATTATAGCCATCTGATGGAGTTTGGATGTGTTCCCTCCAAAACTCATGTGGAAATTTGATCCCCAATGTGGCAGAGTTGGAAACTGACTGAGTCATTGGGGCGGATCCCTCATGAATGGATTAATGCTCTCCCTGGGGGAGGGGGTCTAATGAGTGAGTTCTTGCTCAATTAGTTTCCACGAGAGCTCGTTGTTTAAAAAGACCCCGGCACCTTCTCTCTCTCTCTGTTATTTCTTCTCACCATGTGATCTGCTTGTACCCGCCGGCTGCCTGCCACTTTCCGCCATGTGTAGAAGAAGCCTGAGGCCCATGCCAGATGCAGCTGTCCCAGAATCTTAATCCAAATAAACATCTTTTCCTTATAAATTACCCAGTCTCAGGTATTTCTGTTATAGCAACACAAAATGGACTAAAACATCATCCCAATGAGTATAAAGTGACATCTCATTGTGGCATCCATTTACTTTTAACTTGTTTCTGTCTTTATATTTAAAGTGGGTCTTGTAGACAGTATACAGGTAGGTCTTGTTTTTTAATCCCATCTGACCATCACTGCTTTTGAAGAGTTCATAAAAATTTACTGTAATCATTGATGAAGTTGGATTGAGGTCTACCATTTTATTTGTTTGTTTGTCTCTGTTTTATATTCATTTTTCCTCCCCTACCTCTGTTGGATATTTTTATACTTCTATTTTTATTTATATATTGCTTTTTTAGTTATAATTTCTCTAGGTTTTGTTTTGTCGTGGTTGCTCTAAAAATAAACTCACAGTTTACTTAGAGTTAATACTGTATCACTTCATGTAAAATATAGAAATCTTGCATCTATTTTACTTTGCTATAGTTGTCATATATATTGCATTTAGATGCATTGTAAACTCTAAAAAACAATTTTAATTTTTGCTTTAAGGGAATTAAGAGAGAAAATGTTCGTTTATTTATTTATTTATTTTTTAAATGACCGGTAAGGGGATCTTAACCCTTGACTTGATGTTGTCAGCACCACACTCACCCATTGAGCTAACTGGCCATCCCTATATGGGATCCGAACCCGTGGCCTTGGTGTTATTAGCACCACACTCTCCTGAGTGAGCCACGGGCTGGCCTCAAGAGAGAAAATATTTAAACATCATTTGTATTTACCTGGATATAAATCATGTGAGAAATACTTTATTTCTTCCTGAGGATTCAGGTTTTCACTTCCAGCCTGAATTTTCTTTAGCAAATTTGGTAGTACACATCAATGGACAGCAGAATCTCTTTATTTCACCTTTATTCTTGAAGGAATTTTCACTGGATATAAAATTCTAGATTGACAGTTTTTTTCCTTTCAGTACTGTCTCCTGGCCTCCATAGTTTTGAGTGCAAAGTCAGCATTAATTCAAATCTTCAATTTTTTGTATGTCAAATGTCATTTTCTCTCTTTTGGGGGGGGGCTGCTTTTAAGAATTTATCTTTGTCTTTGGTTTTCAGCAGTTTGACTGCATGGTGCATCAGGAAGGTTTTCTTCATATTTTTTTCTTGCTTGGGGTTTCTTTGAGCTTCTTGAATCTGTAAATTTGTGTCTTACCTAATTTGGGAAATTTTTTTTTTTTGTCTTTTGTCTTTTTCCGTGTCTGGCAACGGATCGCAACCCTCAGTGTTGCCCCCGTACCGGACTGGGGACCGGCAACGGGATCGCAACCCTCAGTGTTGCTCCCGCGCCTCGCTCAGCCAGTGAGCGGGAACCGGTCTGTATGTGGGATCCGAACCCTCGGGCGGGAGCGCCGCTGCGCTTCCCAAGCGGCGCACTACCCAGTGCGCCACCGGGCCCGCCCCTTAATTTGGGAAATTTGGGGCCTTATTTCTTTAAAATTTTTTT